TCTTAAATGATGATTTATTTCAAAAAAAGAAAAAGAAAAAAGCCAAGGCAGAAAAGGAAGCAAATGGAAAGGAGGAAAAGAAAGAGTATGCATGCATACCCAGAACCGAAAAGAGGGCACTTACAACCAGTGTGTCTGCATGGTCTAGGCCAGTACTCACTGAGAGACAAGGATACATATGAAAAAGCCCAGCCTCTGTAGAGCATCTAAATCACTCATTCCCTAAACAGTCTTATATCTAAGCCACACAAGCCCACTACTTCACTCTACAACTTACTATAGTATATTAAGAATGTTGGTAATATGCACAGTATAAAAAGGAGAAACACTTTAGTTACAAAAACATAGGCATCAATTTGATGTAATTAACTGTAATTTCCATAGCCCATCTCCTAATGTTATCACATTAATGTTGAAAAGTCTATCAACCAAAGTATGAAAAACAACAGAAGGGCTATTGAGATGGTCAGCAGGTAAGGGCCCTTACTGTGGGGCCTTTTGACCAATCCTAAGAACCCATTTGGTGGAAATCAAAACTCAACTTCCATAAACTGTTCTCTGACCTTATGCAAGTGTACACACATACAAATAAATAAATGTTAACATACTTGTCAAAAAGAAAAAACAAGAGGACACCAGGAACTCCTACCTAATAGCAGTGTCCACAGCAACAGTCACATCAATCCTAAAGCAGGTGCTTTTATGTGACAAAGTCACAGTTCTCACAAACAGACTGCAAAAACGTTCTTCAGACAGAGCACACTAGTAACGACCAGGTTTTGTGTAAATTAATTTTTGAAGGTTATACCATAAGAAAACTGCTTCAAAAAGCCAGCTAACATTTAAAATAGCATATAGACTTTTCTACATTTAATGACTTTAGGCAAAGACCAAAGAATATCATTACCTCAATACACTGCCACAATAAAATTTCTAGTGTCACTATTAATAAGTGTCACTAATAATAATTCAAACTTTAAAAGGCTTGCTTCAAAGATTCAACAAACAGCATAAAATAACTCTATGGCTCAAATGTTGTTCACACACATACACACATACAAGCTAAATTCACACACAAAATTGGGCCCGACATATTCAACACTGAATACCTTTTCTTCATTTTATATTGTTTCTTTGGTAGTCACATTTATGCACCCCAGGCTGGCCTCAAATTCACAAAGATCTACCTGCCTCTACCTCCTACATGCTGCAATTTAAAGTATTGCCATCTTTTCTTTATTTTAAAGATTTACCTTTATTTATGTGCATTTGTGTATGGAGAACAGAAGTGGGGTGAGTGATGAGGTGGCTATAAATAAAGTATAGGTGCTGGGCACTCAACACCCACGAGGAAGGGCAGCAGGCTCCTCAACACTGATCTCAGGCACTGACCTCAGGCACTCAGGAAGAATTTGTCTTTTACACATTAGAAATTAAATTGTACAAAGTAAGATTTTAATACTAGCAATTAATAATAGAGTCCCCAAAATTCCCTAAACTAAAAACAAAAAGTTCTCTATAAAGTTGAAAATGTTTTAACAACTTTTTTTTAAACACTTCTAATAGTAAGTACCTTTACTTTAAAGATAGTAACATATCCCCCAAAATACTGCATTTGTCTAATACCATGAAACTTTTAAGGCTAAAGTTTCCAGAATACTTTCATTTCTATTTTGATTGCTTATTGGAAACAGTTTCATGTGGCCTTGGCTGGCTCAATGGCTACATTAGGCCACAGCTGACTGTGTACCCCAGGCTGGCCTTGAACTACTGACTCTCCTTCCACTGCTGGGATTAATATGCCTGCACCTCATACGGAGCTGCTCTTTTCCTTTCTCTTCTCTTCTTTTGTTTTTTTTTAAACAGGAAAAGGGATAAAGAGAAAAATCTACATCTTCTACAAACACATTCTAAAATGTGTCAGGCATTACAATGGGAACTGTGACAGATTACAACATTCTGAAAATGTATTCATCTTCCAAATATATCATACATGTTATCAGTCAAATTAAAAATTTTTCCTCAAGTTTTCATCCAACAGCAAAACAGTTCCATACTTCCCTAAAAAACTCACTTTTCACTGTTTTCACACAGTTGTGCATCTGTGACTAACAAAGGGTTTCGCCTCTGACAGGTCACTGGCTGTTTTCATTCACATGAAAGCAGGACAGAACTCAGTAAATAAAAACCAAGCCCTAAACAGAGTCCTAAACTCAAAAAGAAAAAGCCTTTAATAATGGGCAATATACAACAGGCAAATAGTTAAGTAGCAAGAGCATTTGCATTAGTCTATAAACAGAATAAACAGAAGCTTTTGGAACTGTACCCACTTGCAGTTCTACAAAAGCAATCTTCACTCCGGAAACAAGTGAAATTAATTTAAAAAAAAAAAGAAAAGGGGCCGGGCAGTGCTGGCGCACGCCTTTAATCCCAGCACTCGGGAGGCAGAGGCAGGAGGATCTCTGTGAGTTCGAGACCAGCCTGGTCTACAAGAGCTAGTTCCAGGACAGGCTCCAAAGCCACAGAGAAACCCTGTCTCGAAAAACCAAAAAAAAAAAAAAATAAAGAAAAAAAGAAGAAGAAATCTAAAAGAACTGTCAAAAGTTGACGCTATTTACATTCTAACATACTACTGGTTACTGTTAATACTGTGACACCGTTAAACACACACTACTACCATTTTCAAGCATATCTGAATTTGTAATGAATTTAAAGAAAACAAATTCTAGCATCAAAATTCCATCAGTTAAATCTAGATATATCAAATAGCCACCAAAGTTTTTCATACCAGTGTAATTTTAAAAAAATTTACAAATTCCATAAAATGACAAACACCACCTCTACTTTTTTTATTGCTCTGATTTACTCCACCAATAAAAAACTACTTCGACACATATCTCAGAAGCTATTCTGCAGTCAACATGTTTACTTCAAAGGAACCTGGCCATCAGTTTTCCACACCACACACCATAGCAGAGCATGTGACAACTCCAAGACCCAGAACACCAACATAAAGAAAAACGAAGCAAGCACACAACCCTAACTCCCTGCAATACAGGTGCAACAGGCCAAATCGGATCTCTAAAGGTAAAGTGCACCAAACTGCTTAAACATCTTCAAGAGTATTTTTGCTTTCTGCTTACAATTCACGGTTCGAGCCATACAATCAAAGGGCATTTTCTTCCATCAGTATTAACAGTCAGACCAACGGGACAGTACTGTTTCAAGAGTCGGGTTAACTAGAGCAGCTCTCTGGTTTACGATTTAAGACGCTCTAATTCGGGCAGTTTGTTCCGTACGTTTCCATGCAAAAGGCGCTGTTCTATTGGGGAGCCGCACAGCTTTGGGGAGATGGCTCCGAACTGATTCCACAACTCCACGCCACAGCCCGTGGATGTTCGCACCAGCTGACCCTCTGTCTCCCGGGAAAAAGCTCCGCACCAAGCCACTCCACACACCTGCCGCTGCAAAACTCGCAGGCCCGCCACAGCCACGGCCTCTACACTTCCTGAATTCGAAAGCCACTCAAGCTGGTTGAGTGACGCCTTACCTTCATGGTGACTCTGGGGCCGCGATCCCCACGGCGACACCAGCTTCACCTGCACCTGGAAGGGAAACAAAGACACCCGGTCAGTACCACCGGCACCCCCTGCGCCGTCGGGGCGGGGGCGGCACCGAGTGGGGCTAGGAGCCGGAGCAGGCACACGCCATCCCAGAGCCCCTACCGCCCCCACCGCCCGCCGCCCCATTGTCGCGACTCCACGGACTTTTCCCCGTCCTCCACGATGACGCCATTTCTGTCAGAAAACTCACAACAAGCGCAGGGTCCGGCGCGGCCTGGAGCGCGGCTGCAGCCGTCCAAGCCCACGGAACCGCGATGCCCGGAGCCCCAGGGCTGAGCCCCGAGTGAGCCGGCGGGCCCTCGGGCTAAGGCGGCTCGGCCCCACAGAACCCGTCTGCGTCCCGCCCCAGGCCAGGCCCACAAGTGGGAGCCGGGGCCGGGCACCGAGGACATGCCTCACCGATCCCAGCCTCACGGGCCCACGGTGCGGCTCGGGAAGGGCGGCTACGGCTCCGCGCCGCGGGGGGCGGGGGTCCCGGGAGGCCGAGGCCCCGCTGCGAGCGCCGACTCAGCCCCGTTGCCATCTGCCCCGCTGCACGGCCCGGCCCGGAGCTTCCCCCCCCCCCTCACGAAAAATAATGCCCCTACCTCCGGCGCAGACGAGGTCCGAGCCCTGCGGCCGGAGTCCCCCGCTCCGCCTCCCCCCCCAACACCAGCAGGCCCGGGGGAAGAGATGGCGAAGAAGCTGCGGGTCCGCCGGCGGCCGGGGCTCCGGCTCCTCCTCCTCCCGTGGCGGCGACTGGTACCTTTGTTTGGCGGCCGCTCCGGCTCCCTCGCGGGGGGAGGGGGGGCGACGAAAAATCCCTCCCAGACGGAGGTCCGGGGCCCCGGTCTCGAAGCCCTCCCGAGGACCGCGGCCGCCGACCTTGTGCGGCTCCCTCCGGGCAGACGTCCAGGCGGTGGCCGTGGCGGCGGCAAGCTGTGGCCCGAGACTCTCTCTCCGCTCCGGCACCCGTGCTCCTCACTCCGGACTCGACTGACGGGCAAACATCGCTTCCCCCCACCCCGGCCCCCCCTTCTCCTTCTCCCCTCCCCTCGGCTCTTTTCCCCTCCCCTACTCCTTTCCCGGATGCCCCACAGACGATCGAGGATTGGCTAGGATTCTATGGAGCCCGCCTCTTCCCGGTTTTTATTGGTTTGAGCGATGCAAACAACGACGCCATTTTCCCACCAGTTCTATGGAAACAGAAAGTTATGCCTCAATGCTCCCTGGGATTTGTAGTCCACTCTTCCGGACCAATTGGCATACTCCCGGACGTAAGAACTACCAAAACCGCAATGCCGCTTGCCTGCGTTCGACAAGAGCGGGGAGGGGAAGGGGGCGCGGCCATAAGGCAGAGGGGAGGTGGCATACAACGCCTGCGCAGTGTGACAGGGATGGCGTATTTTCTTGCACCGAGTAATGCGGCGTCGTTGGCCGCTAAGGAGGGCGGAGATTTCTGTGGTGAAGTAGGGGGAGGGCTCCAAGGAGGCCTCGGGAAGAGCCGGGGTCTGAACTATAAAGAGAGAAGTTGATGTGGGCACTGCTAGTCTTGGACCGGCGGCTTGAAGTCTGAGATCATCGTGGAACCGTGAGCAGCGGTGAGGCTGCGGGTGGGGGGGGGGGGGGGGGACCCGGATGGGGAGCAGGGGAGGGGGCGGTACCGAGGAGGAGGAAGAAAGGAGGGAGAAGACCCGGATGCTGACCCGGCTTAGGGTGACTGGCGGCCGGGGTGCTGGGTCGCGGGGGAGGCAGAGGGGCTCCCAGGAGCGGAAGGGGCACCGATGCGGCTCAGGGGAGAAGCCTGCCTCTGAGCTTATTACTCCACTACCATGTGGAGCCCTTTACCCTCAGAGCCTTCACTCCCCGAGCTTGGAGTGAAAAAGGGTCTTGCTGTGCGCATCACAGCTATGTTTCTCGGTGGCCCATATCTGTTTAGTCAGTTTCAAGCCAGAGCGTGCCTATAAAAAAGAGAGAAATACTCTACATGGAATTTTCCATATTTGTATGCGGACGATGTGCTGAGTTTATCCTCTGAGATGTTGGGAGAAGCGTTCATTCAGTCCTCGGGTGGAAAGTCCTCCGGGTAGACCTTGTGCAACTTCCTGAACGCAGCTGGTCAGACAAAGTGAAGCGTGATGGGAGGATGTGAATTAGAGCTTTGGCTTAGGGAAATATAGAGAGGTTTTCCGGAGGGAGTGAGGATAGAGCTTGGCTCAAGAAATCACAAGTTACTAAGGGAAGAGCCTAAAGGAAAGGAGAGTCCAGAAAGAACGTGTTTGGAAACCCGTTTCAGGAGAAAGCTTTCCCAGTATGAAGACTGAGGCCCAGAGACGTTAGGAAGACTGATCAATCCAGCACCCTGGAGACTAGATCTAGAGGATTACTGTATATTTTAGGCCAGCTTAGACTACACAGGACAACCCTGTCACCAGAAAAAAAAAATAAATAGATAAAACAGGTTTTATCTGCTCTTAGGGTCCAGTGAACAACAAGATATCTTAGATTCCCAACTTGAATTGCTAAAAGAACTCACCCAAAAGTAGAGGAGTTTAGCACTGTGGTGCTGACACATTCCAAGGCCAGCCTGATCTATTCGAGTTCCAGGCTATCCTGGGCCACACAAACTCTGCCTCAAGAAAAAGAAAATGGAGGAAGATCAGAGAGGCAGCTGCAATAGTATTTCAACAAGGGAAATGATCTGGTTGCATAAATATTCACTAATCCAGTCTTCGAATACATTTCCACAGCTTTTGAGAGTAGGAAAATGGTGTCAGGTTCACACTGAGGCATTCTATTGTGAGTCCACATAAGAGTAACTGAGTTCATGCCACTTAGCACTTAAATTTCAGTGTAGTCATGAAAAGCTGAAAATTCTAACTATAAAAAAAAGTCAAAAATATATAGAACTCTTAAACTGCCTTAGATTCTAAAGAAAGTGCAGAGCAGATGGACTGCCAGTACTTACAAACACTGATGTTCTCGTGTTTCTCCGCCACAGTGAATACTTTGTGTAAATACTTTCTGGGAAGGGAACATCAGTTGATTTATATGAGTACTGTTAAACTGTGAATGAGCAAATGAAATACTTTTTTAATTCATCACTAGTAGAGAAATATTAAAGATTTTTTTAAACAACTTCAGTATTTCAGAAGGCAGAGGCAGGCGATTTCTGTGTTGGAGGCCAGCCTAGTCTACAAAGTGAGTTTCAGGGAAGCCTTGCTCTGTTACACAGAGAAACCCTGTCGGGAGGTCGGGAAAACAGACAACACTTCAATAGTTAAAGGATATGTCATTCTTAATTTCTGTGCAGAATATACCTGCTATTGATCCAGGGACAAATTCTTGAAGGTGACTTTGTTATTTTAAGTTAGGTCAAAGGTGTTTTCCAGAATACTAACAAGATAGCAGCATGCATTTGGCTGCCACCCTAATTGAGAAGAAATGGCTGCTAGCCATTTAAAAAGAGGAGTGTAGCCAGGCGGTGGTGGCACACGCCTTTAATCCCAGCACTCGGGAAGCAGAGGCAGGCGGATCTCTGTGAGTTCGAGACCAGCCTGGTCTACAAGAGCTAGTTCCGGGACAGGCTCCAAAGCTACAGAGAAACCCTGTCTCGAAAAACCAAAAAAAAAAAAAAAAAGGGGGGGGTGTATAGAAGATGTTTTGGAGACTTGAGGATTTAGTTTAATGGTAGACTAATATTTAGTTTAATGGTAGCAAATGCAAGGCTGCAGACTTCACCAAAACGAAAAAGAACAAATATTTTTGACCATATGTTTCAATGATCCGTTGCCAACATTATTTGTCTTTCTTCTTTGCATCTTCTTTATCTTTAACCTCTAAAAACAGAGTAACATGTTCAATATTCACAACTGTCATCCCATGTCCCACCTCTCCAGGAAGAGAGTTCCAGGCCAGTCTAGAATACATAGCAAACCCATCTTGGGGGAGAAAAAAACGTTGCTAAGTTGCTTTTTGAAATATTTCAAAATATTTTGTGACCATCCTTTTCCTTGTAAAGTTCTTCTTAACAGTAACTGCTGCTCAAGGCTAATGGAGAACTTTACCTTAGGAAGTAAGGGATTGAGACATGTCATATGGCCCAAACCGGCCCTGAACTCATGATCTTTCTGCCCTTTCCCAACTGCTGGGATTACAAAGATGTTTTACTACATTTGGCTAGAAATTTTCTATTTAAGATGTTACTCTCTGAATTCATATTGCTGTACTGCTTTGGTGGGTTGCTGATTTTTGTGTGTCTGTGAGTTATTATTATTAGTATTAAGAATTAACTACCAAAAAAAATGGACTCTTGAGACTGGAGAATGGCTCAGTAGGTAAAGTGTTTGCTGTGAAGTCATGAGGACCTGTGTTTATTCCTGGTATCTATGTAGCTGGATATGGCTGCAAATACGTGTAATCCCAGCAGTGGAGAGGCAAAGACTGGGGGATCTCTGGGGCTTGCTAGCCAGTCAGTCTAGCCAAACCAGCAAACTATAGCTTCAGTAAAAGACTCTATTTCAAAACTTGGGGTAGGAAGATTAAAGAAATTACCCAATGTCAATCTCAAGGTTCCGCATACACCACTGTGGTGGTTTAAATGAGAATGACCACACCCCCAAGTTGGTGGAATTGTTTTGGGAAGGATTAGGAGGTGTGGACTTGGAGAAAGTATGTCATTAGAGGTAGACTTTGAGGTTTCAAAGGCCCATGCCATTCCTGGTTAGCTTTCTGTCTCAGGCTTCTGGATAAGATGTAAGTTCTCAGCTACTGCTCCAGTGCCATGCATGCCTGCCTGCTTGCTGCCAGATCTCCGTCATCATGTTCATGGACTCACCCTCTGAAACTATGAGCAAGCCTCCAATTAAATATTTCTTTTCTAAGTTGCCTTAGTCATAATGTATTTTTGTTGTTATTCTTGGGTTTTTTGGGGTTTTTTGTTTGTTTGTTTGTTTTTGAGACAGGGTCTCTCTACGTATCCTTAGCTGTCTTAAAACTATGTAGACCATACTAGCTTTGAACTCACAGAGATTCCCCTGTCTGCTTCTCCAGTGCTGAGATTAAAAGTGTACACCACCACACTGGACCAGTCATAGTATCTCTTTACAACAATAAATCAGTAACTAAGACAACCACACACACATACAAAATTAAATAAATGAATACCCTTTTTTTTTTCCAGACAGGAAACAGTATAACAGCTCTGGCTGCCCCAGAACTTGCTTTGTTTCTGACCTTGAATTCACAGAGATCTGTCTGCCTCTGCCTCCAAGTGCGAGGATTAAAAGTGTGTGCCACCACTGCCCAGTTATAAATGCTTTTTGAGTCGTGCTTTTCACTGGGCATGGGGGTACACATGTAATCCCAGCACTTGAAGACTAAGAAAGGATTGTTCATTCTAGGGGAGTCTGAAACCACATTGGGAAATCCTGCCTCAGAAAGCAAACAATAAAAAATTGTGTGTGTGAGTGTGTGTGATTCTAAAGAGCAACCTGAACAATAAATACATCACTCTCATTCCTTGATTTTTGTTGTCTTCAATAAAGAGTTACAAACTGTCGGGCGCCAAAAAAAAAAAAAAAAAAAAGGCCGGGCGGTGGTGGTGCACGCCTTTAATCCCAGCACTCGGGAGGCAGAGGCAGGCGGATCTCTATGAGTTCGAGACCAGCCTGGTCTACAAGAGCTAGTTCCAGAACAGGCTCCAAAGCCACAGAGAAACCCTGTCTCGAAAAACCAAAAAAAAAAAAACAAAAAAAAAAAACTGCTGAGCGGTGGTGGCGCACGCCTTTAATCCCAGCACTCGGGAGGCAGAGGCAGGCGGATCTCTGGGAGTTCGAGGCCAGCCTGGTCTACAAGAGCTAGTTCCGGGACAGGCACCAAAGCTACAGAGAAACCCTGTCTCAAAAAACAAAACAAAAAAAAAAAAAAAAAAGAGTTACAAACTGAGGTTGTGGGAAACATGGCGTAGTCAGTAAAACATCTCTGAAGCATGATGAGCCAAGTTCTGCATCCCCCCATCTTTAACTCCAGCACTTGGCTGAGCCAGATCAAGCATTTCCCAGGAATTCATTGGCCAGCCAGTCTAGCTAAATTGGCAAAGCCTGGGTTCAGTGATGGACCCTGTCTCAAATATAAGATAGAAAATGATTGAAGAAGACCCAGGGGTGTATAACTTCTAAACAAACATGCACTCACACCCATGAACACCCAGAATTTTTGTTTATCACAGCTATTGTGTATGTGTGAGCATCCACATGCCACAGTGGAGGTCAGTATAGCTTTCAGCTCTTGACTTGCTCTTCTGTTAGTCTTGTATATAGAGTCAGCAGAGTGCTCCGGGTTAAAGGTTTGCCACAGAGCCTGACAACTTGAGTTGTTTTGTCCATGGGATTTTTCGAGGGCTTGTCAAATTGACAACACTAACCATCACAGGTGCTTTCCAATTCCAAAACCTGTGACATGTGACTAGCTCTTTGACCAGCAATAACCCTGAACTGCCATATGTAACCATGTTATATTTGGTTTTAGGGTTACAAATACACAGTGAATCTATGAAAGATGGTTAGAAGAGGGCTTGTGATCCTGAAGGCCAAAGGAGATACAACTCATAACACCTAAAGCTTGCCAGAGGTGTCATGATTACTAGAAAAGCCTTTAATCCAGCACTTGGAAGGCAGAGGCAGGCGGATCTCTGACTTCAAAGGCCAGCCTGGTCTAAAAAAGTGAGTTTCAGGGCAGGCAGATCTCTAACTTCAAGACCAGCCTAGTCTGAAAAAGTGAGTTCCAGGGCAGCCATCTTGTTACACAGAGAAACCTTATAAGAACTTTAAAGGGGCTGGAGAGATGGCTCACTGGTTAAGAGTACTGACTGCTCTTCCAGAGGACTCGGGTTCAATTCCCAGCACCCACATGGCAGCTCACAACTGTCTGAAGATCCAGTTGCAAGGGATCTAACACCTTTGTACCAATGCACATAAAAAATAAAGTTAAATAAACCATAAAATATATTAAAAAAAAAGGAACTTTAAAAAACGTTTTTAAAAAGTGAAAAGCAGGGGCTGGAGAGATGGCTCAGTGGTTGGGAGCGCTGCCTGCTCTTCAGGAGGTCCTGAGTTCAATTCCCAGCAACCACATGGTGGCTCACAACCACCTGTAATGAGATCTGGTGCCCTCTTCTGGCCTGTATACTTAATAAATAAATAAATCTTTAAAAAAAAAAAAGTGAAAAGCCGAACCTCCAAGGAGAAAAGTAGACATAGATATTTGCAAAGAAACAGGAGTAAAGGAACCCCCTGCAAAGACCATGATTGAAGGCAAGGTGGCATGCTCTATAATCCCAGTATTTGGGAGGAGAGGCAAAGGAATCAGGAGTTCAAGGCCAGCTGGGGCTACATATATATTCTCTCAAAAAATACATATGTACCTATATGCCCCAGTTTATATTCTAGGAAGTTTGAAATAAAGGCAAAATTCAAAATAATGAAGCACTGCAAGAAATTCTTAAATAAAATAATTGCACTAAATTAGAATACATCTTTAAAACAATCTCCAAAATTTATTAATTTGAGAAAAATGTTCTTCACAAATTACAAAGCCTATTTTAATATTCATAGGATATTTGTAATATTCATAGAAAGAATAAGAATATTTGTAATCATTATAGAAATGTCTGGGTTTTGTTTTTGTTTTGTTTTTTTAAGCTGGGTGGTGGTAGCACACAACTTTAATCCCAGTACTTGAGAGGCTGAAGCATGGTCTACAAAGAAGTTCCAGGACAGCCAGGCTGTTAAGACAGAGAAACTCTGCCCCCACCCCCAAAAAAGGAAAGAAAGAAATGTCTGTTTTTGTGAATTTATTTTGACATTTCTTTGATGTCAACAATTTAAACCCTTTATGATTCATTAGCTAGGAAAGCTTACTAAATATAAATCATCTAAGAAAGCTATTTAAAAATCAACTCAGCATTCTGATCAGTGTAATCAGTAGAATGAAGAATTTTTGGTATAATTTATATACCGCCATCCAAAATGTATAGTTAAGATGGTTTGGTGGCTTGAAGCCCACAATTTCAAGGCCAACTTGGGCATCATGGTAAGACCCTATCTCAGAACAAGCTAGATATGATAATGCATGTCTATAATTTCAGCACTGACAGGCATGAGGCAATCACAAATTTGAGACCATCCTGGGCTACAACATAAAACTTTTCAGAAACTTTTTTAAAAATTACAATTTAGAGCTGAGCAATGGTGGCGCACACCTTTAATCCCAGCACTCAGGAGGCAGAGGCAGGCAGATCTCTGTGAGTTCAAGACCAGCCTGGGCTACAAGAGCTAGTTCCAGGACAGGCTCCAAAGCTACAGAGAAACCCTGTCTCAAAAAAAAAAAAAAATTACAATTTAGTAGTTTTTAGTATAGACGCAATGTACAGCCATAACCACATTCTAATAACATTTTGATCCTATGCACACATACATACCACATATGTGTGAGCATGTGCACACACCTTCATTGTTCATTAGTAACAGTCCTTAATTTTTCTGAGCCAGAAACCACTAACTTGCTTTCCCACCTGTATAGATTGCCTGATTCAGAACATTTCCTATAAATAGATCATGCAGCATGTTCTTTTGTTGCTGGCTCCTTTTGCTTTACATAATGTTTTCAAGGTTTTATACCTGTAATGTTTTGCTATATAAATAAAATTTAATGTTTGTCCTTCAAAAAATACCTTGATAAAAATTCATTTGCAATCTAACACTTAAAGATAATTTGATTCTTGAGATCATTTTTATATTTCTCCTTTTTAACAGGTCAGCTTTGAAATTTATAAACTATGGAGAAGACTCAAGAGAAAGCTGAAAGAATTCTTCTAGAGCCCTATAGGTACTTACTTCAATTGCCAGGTAACAAAGAGTTCAGTTATTGTCTGTTTAGTGTAGTTTTTAAAGAGTAGAGTTTGTGTAAATGTTAGCAACAGGAAAGATTAAAGTTAAATGGTCCTTGAGACCTTCTATTTGAAGCAATACCATTATAAGAGAAATTATCAAAGACTATATAATGAAAATGTTTTTGTTTTGCTTTCTGTTTTATTGAGACAGGATCTCCTTGTCTCCTAAACTGGCCTAGAATTTATTAAGTAGCCTAGGCTGGCCTGGAATTTGTGGTGAACCTCCTGCCTCTGCTTTCCAAATGCTGGGATTACAGGTGTGCTGTGGCCAATCCTAAAAAATTACTCCTTTTTTCTTTTAATTACATGTCTGTTGGGGGAGGGTATGTGCACAATCATGCAGATGCCTGTGGTCAGAAGAGGGTGTTACATCCTCTGGTGATGGAGTCACAGCCAGCTGTGAGCTACCCATGATGTAGGTGCTAGGACCCAGACCAGGTCATCTGCAAGACCTTAACCCTAACTCATTCATAATCACTGAGCCATCTGCCCAACCCAACTCCCAGACTGAAACTTAATTTTCTTTCCCTTTTTAAGTCTTGATTTGTGTATGGAGGTTTTGACTGTGTGTGTGTCTGTGTACCATGTGTATGCCCAGAGCCTAGAGGTCAGTTCCTCTAGGACTGAAGTTACAGTTAACAATTCTGAGCCACCTTGTATGTGCTGGGAATCAAACCTGGGACTTCTGGAGGAGCAGCAAGTGCTCTTAACCACAGAGCCATCTCTCTAGCCTCTGAAACTTAACTTTTATATAACCATTTTCTTGAACCCTGTTCTGAATTTGCTGTATTAGACGTGCATGATATTTGTACTAAATGAATTGGTTGTGGTTTTTTTTTTTTAATCTATCATGGCTTTATATTTAGGCTAATTTAACTTCTACTGGCAACTACTACCTAAAGATTTTTCTCAAGCTTTCCATGTGAAAAAGAAAATGCTATTGGAAAACTAGTGGCCCAGTCAACACAAAAAGGCTAGCACTTGTTTAAACTCAGGGTGTGTAAACTAAAGGTGCCCTAGTCTCCAAACCTTAATTTAAGGAATTGACAAATAATTTTATGAGGAAATTCATTCACTAAATTCTTTGAAGTTTTGTGTGATAGATAATGCCAGCTAATTGTCCCCGAACCAGCTTTGTTTTTCAGAAAAAGAAAGAGATTAATGAACCTTCCTAAAAATGACCCTTCCACCCCCAATTCAATGCCCATTCCATCTCCAAGTTAAGACTAAAACTCCCTGAAATGGTTTATACTTTCTTGTTGGCTGTCACTTTAAAAAGCTGTGCTTTTTGACCTGTAAGTGTGTGTGTGTGTGTGTGTGTGTGTGTGTGTGTGTGAGAGAGAGAGAGAGAGAGAGAGAGAGAGAGAGAGAGAGAGAGGGAGGGAGGGGTGAGAGAGCGAGAGAGAGTGCGTGCGCACTGGGGTGGGATTCATGTGTGCCTGAGTGTGGGTGCCCGCAGAGGACTGAAAAAGGGATTGGGTCTCCTGAAGCTAGACTTACATATGGCTATGAGCCACCTGACATGGGTGCTGGGGACCACACTTGGGTTCTCTAGAAGAGCAGCAAGAGCTCTTTAACCCTCAGCCATTTCTCCACCCACCCAAGTGTAGTTTGAATGAAAACATGAAGAGGGTGGGTCCAGTCCCACTGTGTACTTTACAGTGGGGAATCTGAGGGGTGTTCGGCAAGGAAGGAAATGGATTGATGTGGATGTGACTGTCTTATTAAATATGATAAGTTTTGAAGCAAGTTTATCAATTTTTTTTTCCGAGGCATGGTTTCCCTGTGTAGCTTTGGAACCTGTCCTGAAATTTATTCTGTAGACCAAGTTGGCCTTGAACTCAGAGAGATCTTGCCTGCCTCTGCCTCCCAAGTGTTAGGATTAAAAGCATGTGCCAACACCACCCGGCCTCAATTTTTCTTGTAAGCACATTTTGGAGGCTAATGAAATGACTTAGCTGGTAAAGGTTCTTGTCACCGCACCTAACATCTGACTTCCATCTCCAGGACCCACATACTCCTGCAAGCTATCCTGTGACCCCCACAGGTGTGCCATGAAAAACGCATGTGCATACAAACACAACTAAATTAAATGTTTCTTAAAATTATTTTTTAAGTATAATAATGTTTTATTTGTCATATTCTATGTTTTAATTACAGGTAAACAGGTGAGAACCAAACTTTCACAGGCATTTAATCACTGGCTGAAAGTTCCAGAAGACAAACTGCAGGTATCTAGGCAGTCTGTTTTGTCTCTGTTTTGTCCTGCTGTTGGTCTAGTTCTGGACACTTTGAGCTTGCTGGGCAAGTGCTCTGCCACTGAGTCACATCCCTGGCCATGAGGCAATTCTAATCGTATTCTTCTTTCCCATTTAATCAAGGAATTAGTAAGTATCCTGTAAAAATACTCCTTATTCTGTTAGTGTTTATGCAATATTATTTATCGAGATTGCTAAATATTTATTAGTTGTAAAAGCTTAAGACAACTGAGACTTTAATAGTTTAGTAATGGCTTTAAGTACAACCTGTTTTAGTCAAGCATGTACCATGGTGGAACACATGGAATCCCAGCCCTTAGAAGCTGGTTACATAGGGAGACTGTGTCTGGGCTGGAGTGATGGCTCTGAGGTTAATTAAGAGCATGTACTGTTCTTGCAGAAGACCTAAGTTCAATTCCCAGTACCCACCTCAGGCACCTCACAACTGCCTGTAACTCTAGATCCAGGGGAATCTCGCGTCTTTGGCCTCCAAGGGTAGCTGCACTCACATACACATCAAATTAAAAGTATTAAAAGTAAATATTTTTTAAAATCCTCTGTGTGTGCATGTACACATGTGTGTACATTAGTCTTTGTTTACATATCTCTGTATGTGTTTGTCTATATCCCTTTACATATGTGTGTTGTATGTATGTATGCTAGTGAAATTTTCTTTCTATTTTGGTTATTTTCCTCTAGATTATCATTGAAGTAACTGAAATGTTGCATAATGCCAGCTTACTCATTGATGATATTGAAGATAACTCAAAGCTCCGACGTGGTTTTCCAGTGGCACATAGCATCTACGGAATCCCTTCTGTCATCAATTCTGCCAATTACGTCTACTTCCTCGGCCTGGAGAAAGTCTTAACACTGGATCACCCGGATGCTGTGAAGCTTTTCACACGCCAGCTTTTGGAACTCCATCAGGGACAAGGCTTAGATATTTACTGGAGGGACACCTACACCTGTCCCACTGAGGAAGAGTACAAAGCCATGGTGTTGCAGAAGACAGGTGGATTGTTTGGACTAGCAGTAGGTCTCATGCAGTTGTTTTCTGATTATAAAGAAGATTTAAAGCCACTGCTTGACACACTTGGGCTTTTCTTCCAGATTAGAGATGATTATGCCAATCTACACTCCAAAGAATACAGCGAAAACAAGAGCTTCTGTGAAGACCTGACGGAAGGGAAATTCTCCTTCCCCACTATTCACGCCATCTGGTCACGGCCAGAAAGCACCCAGGTACAGAACATCCTGCGCCAAAGAACAGAGAATATAGATATTAAAAAATACTGTGTGCAGTACCTGGAAGACGTAGGTTCTTTTGAATATACTTGGTACACTCTTAGAGAGCTTGAAGCAAAAGCCTACAAACAAATCGAGGCCTGTGGTGGAAACCCTGCGCTAGTGGCTTTAGTGAAGCATTTAAGTAAGATGTTCATGGAGGAAAATGAATAATGGTTGCCATTCTTCCTTAGACTCATAGCTTCTTCCAGTTGATAACGGGGAGAGGCTTCCTATTTATCTTTTTAAGTACTAGTCTCCAAAAGGAGTAAATGAGGGTGAAATTGTCAGAATCCCTTTGCATAAGAACACAAACTTAAGGGCTGGAGGGATGGCTCAGTGGTTAAGAGACTGCTCTTCCGCAGGACCCAGGTTTAATTTCCAGTGCCCACATAGTTCATCACCATTTGTAACCCCAGTTCCAATGATCTGATGGCCTCTTCTGGCATTTGCCGGCAGCACGCATGCACGTAATACACAGACATACATGTAACCAAAACATATATATAAGATAGATTATTTTTTAATTTTTTAAAAATGCAAAATTGAAATTATCAGGAGCCACAAACACGGGTCTTAGAAATGTCATACGCTAAATGTGACCAACTGTCCCTACTACCACATGTGTGTTTTGGGTTTGTGAATAAAAAGGACTTAATCTTCCAAGAAACTTTCTGCTTCCTAACTGTATGGCATGGATGGTTCCCAATTCATTGATGCTTTAGTTCAAAACAGGGACTTCCTAGACAAATCTCTAGGTGACCTAAAGACCAAAGAACTGCCCGCCTTCCCCTAGATGATATTGCCGAGAGTGTGTCAGTGTTGTCATTGAAGGCCTCTACCAAAGTCTGAAAAGACGGAGTGAAAGCAATCAGTACTCTCCCTACCCACTTTCTTGTTTCCCTCCTTAACACCCCACAAATTCTGGGTTTTTTGGGTTTTTTTTGTCTTTTTTTGGTTTTTTGCCAAGGAGGCTTTACACTTAATGAAGTTCACATCCTGGTCTCAATTTATTTTTTGTCTGTTTTTGTTTGTGTGTATGTGTGTTTTCTTTTAACATTTTTTTCTGACCCAGACTGATTAGTATCTGTGTATAATGTTGTTTCTATGAAAGAGGAAAATAGACAGAAAAAGTGTTTTGTGTACCTGGGAAGCAATCCGAGGGAGACTCAGGAAGATCAGAAGTTCAAGGTTATTCCCAGCTATGAGTTTGAGGCCAGTCTGGGCTACATGAGACTTTGTCTGAAAAGGAGAAAGAAAAAGAAAAAGGATTATTTTTTATCTTAAGACAAGTTTCAAAATGCAATTCTAGCTGGCCTCTAAGGATCAAAGGATCCACCAACCTGGCCTGTCTCCCGGGTACTAGGATCAAAGGTGTGGCCCACCACGCCTGACAAAGAATGTGTAAATCAGTTTATTTTCTGGCCTGGTACTAATCCATGGTTCTTCTGTCATTCTTGTCTTCACTTTGTCAGTAACAGAAATGTCTAATAGTGAATCAAGGACATTATTAGAGTCATTTTATCTATATGTAATCAAACGTCCATCCTCTGTTTGGTCCGTGGTCACAGCTGTGAATTCAGAAGAGAACCAGACTATAATGAGTAGCTCAGTTCACTTAATAAAATGATTTTACTTGTGCACGCCTTTAATCCCAGCACTCTGGAGGCAGAGCTCCATGGAGGCCAGCCTGGTCTACAGAGTGAGTTCCAGGATAGCCAAAGCTACACAGAGAAACCCTGTCTCCAAAAAAAAAAAAAAAAAAAAAAAGGTTTTATTTGCTGAGATTTGTACTACAGTAATGCTTTTTTCTGTCTAAAAGAGTCTTCAGATATCCTCTTGGAGAGTTGGATTTTGCCATATCAAAGACCTGTTACTCCCCACCCCCAAGAGAGAGGAGGTTTCTCTGTATGACTGTCCTAGCTGTCCTGGAACTTACTTTGTAGACCAGGCTGGCCTTGAACTTACAAGTACTGTGATTAAATGTGTGCTCTACCACTGCCTGGCTGAGACATACTTTTTCATATTTTCTGCTTTATGCAGCTTCAGAAGAACATTAATTCTATTTACCAAATCTGCAAGAATGAAAGTCTCTTGTAGTGCCATAAATCACTTGACTCAGCAAGATTTTTATTTCCTTAAGATGAGGCCTGGCTTTGTGGCCTCATTACCATCCTTCAGCCTCTGGAGTAGCTGGAATTCCAGTCCAGTCCTGGCTCTAACAAGGTCGTTGCTCAGCTGTTTTCTCTTCCACTTTCCTTCCTCCTCCTCCTCTAACTTCTGTCCCCTGTCATTGCCCCCAGGAGCTCTTCAGAAGTCTTCCCACCAGTTCGAACTGGACCTAGTCATCTGCATTCTTTTGTTCCCTGTGTCACTGAGTGCTCTTAGGGAATGTTTTCCTGGCTGCCTCCCCTCCTGAGAAACCTGGATTGTTTCTTTCATCTTCCTTTCCTAACAGAAAGGGGGATCCGTCACCTACCAATCCATTGTCCTCTAGTATCTTTTTCCATTCTCCAGCTATCAGATGTGGAGTCTCCTGACTTTCTTCACTTTTACTTCAAATCTGCCTTCTAGTCGTCTGCCTTCTATCTCAAAAAAAACAAACAAAAAAAAAATTGTAAACCAGATGAGGTGGTGGCACATGCCTACAATCTTAGCATTTAGGATGGGAAATTGAAATCAAAAGTTCGAGGTTCTTACTGGCTGAATAGTGGACTGAGACTAACCTGATTTTTTTAAAGAGTTTGTCCTGAAGCCTTAGGCCAAAGGAGCTCCAGCTCAAGATTCCTTTCCCTTCCTACCCCTGAGGGCCTTGCCCTGTCCCAGGCTGTAATCCTTAGGAATTATCCTATGGTTAAACCATGTGCTGTGAGAAAGAGGAAAGAAATGTATATTTATACATCTTTAATCCCAGCACTCAGGTGGCAGAAGCCGGCAGATCTCAATGATCTAGTCTAAATAGAGTTTCAGGCCAGACAAGGCATTGTAGTGAGACTCAAAAGTTTCAAATATAGAAAAAAAGCTCACAGTGATGGCCCCTACAGTATGTGAGTTCATATTTAATATAGTTGACATTTTATTTCCTCAACCTGACCACCCAGTAGGTTAACTGTTACAATCTGTTGACCTGGTCTATCAGCTGGGTACTCTGTCCCTTTAAGAGACAAGCTCTACACACTTCCAACCCCCCCCCTTCCTCCAAAGAAGGCAGATCTCCCACCTCCTCTGCAATAGTCCCCCCCAACTTCTGAAGCGGTAGCTTCTGCCTCTCTTCCTCCTCCCCTTCCCTTCCCCCTCCCTCCATAACCCACTAAATAAACTCTTTACCCCAGCTCTCTCTGCATGTATTCATCTTTCTTTCTGTCTCCTGCTGAGGCCTCAGGCGACCTGCCCCATACCTGCCTCTGGTTCCCCCCCACCCCACTGTGTGACCAGCCTCAGGTCCCTCATCTCTTATAAATGATAACACGAACTGCAGAGTCATTCTGCTCATCTCAATTCATCTTTTCATATTTACATTATTTGAGATGTTAATACTTAGCTATATTAGGCATTTTACCATGTATGTACAACTTGGTTAAAAGGTAAATACAAAAAAAAAGTGATATAAATGTCAAAGCCTATTAGTTCAAATCAACTATGTGTAGTGTTTCCTAACAGTTAATGGGCACTGACACAGAAATGCCTGGGAAATAAGTGTCATGTTTTTTTAATTTATGATTTATTTTTTTAATATTTATTTATTATGTATACAATATTCTTTCTGTGTGTATGCCTGAAGGCCAGAAGAGGGCACCAGACCTCATTACAGATGGTTGTGAGCCACCATGTGGTTGCTGGGAATTGAACTCAGGACCTTTGGAAGAGCGGGCAGTGCTCTTAACCGCTGAGCCATCTCTCCAGCCTTGCTGGCCTAGAGCTTGATAGGTAGATTTAAACTCAGAGATCTGCCTGTTTCTGTGTCCAAAGTGCAGGGATTAAAAGCATGTGCCATCACTCAGCAAAGCATATTTTTATACAGCACTACTTTAGAAGAATCACCAACTTTTGCATTATCATTGTTTATGACTGTACTTAAAGCTGTCTCTGAAGAGAGAAAGCATGAAACAAGGTAGTTGCACCTCAGTTGGGTGAGTGTCTTAGCTGTCCTGTCATTGTGAAGACACCATAACCAAGGCAGTTTTATAAAGGAAGCATTTAATTTATAGTTTCAATTAGTTCATTCCACCACATAGCAGGAGCAGCGTGCTAACAGTCATGGCTTTCGAGCAATGGCTGAGAACTACATCCTGACCTGTAGGCGGGAGGCAGAGTCTAGGGCTGGACTTTGGAAACCTCAAAGCCCACCCCAGGTGACACACTTCCTCCAACAAGGCCACACCTCCTAATTCTTCTAGTTCTAGCAAAGAATTCTACTCCCTGGTAAGTAAGTACTCAGATATATGAGCCCGTGAGCATCATTCTTTCAGACCACCTCAGTGGGTAGTTTAGTACTAATGGGAAGCAGTTAGAAGGTGTGTAAATCTTACTGAAACTTGCCCACTGGCTTAATGGAAGTTGTAAATTGGGAATAAACATTGAGGACTGTTTTAAAGAGATTTGGTTTTGATGAATATTCTGACAAAAATATCAGTGCTTTTTAAGTATGGAATGGTTTGTTCATCAATTAAAGAATTGGACATACATCCTAAAGCAAAGAGACAAGACGAAGTAGAACAAGCCTGTAATACTGAGGCTGAGCCAAGAAGATTATGAGTTCAAGAACATTCTGACCTCCATAGTGAGTTGGAGCCCAGCTGGACTACATACTCAGACCTTTGTCTCAAGAAACAAAAATACTAACTGGGTGGTGGTGGTGCTCGTCTTTGTTCCTAGCACTTCAGAGGCACTGCAGGTAGATCTCTGTGAGTTCAAGGTCAGCCTGATCTACAGAGTGTGATCCAGGACAGGCTCCAAAGCTACAGAGAAACCCTGTCTCCAAAAAAAAAAAAAAAAAAAAGAAAAAGAAAAAGAAAAAAAAAAACAAGTATACTGAGTCAAGAAAGCAGGGATTATTGAAATAAGATGTGGATTTGAAACAATTCAAAAAGACTCAGATTTTCTAATAAGTTTTTTGAAAGTGGGTATTTTGGACAGAGATGCCCAGTCTGTCCAGTACTTGCTGCATATACATGAGGATCTGAGTTTGGTTTGGTTTGGTTTTATGATTTAGTTTCTGTATGAGTGCTCTATCTGCATGTACAGCTTTATGCCAGAAGGTGCCATTAGGTCCCACTGTAGATGGTTGTGAGCCACCATGTGATTGCTGGAAACTGAACTCAAGACTCAGGAATTGAACACAGGAACTCAGCCAGTGCTCTTAACTGCTGAGCCATCTCCAGCCCCTAGGATCTGAGCTTTGACCCCTGAGCATTTACATAAAATCAGAATATGGCAGTGTGCACTCCATAATCCCAGGACTGAGGAGGCAGAAACAAGTGGATACCATGGATACTCTGGCAAACCATTCTAACTTAATCTGTAAGTTCCAAGAGAACTTGTCTGGAAAAAAATGATGTGAAAGATTATTGAGGAAGATCCAAGATGTTGATTTCTGGTGTCCATGTGTATATATTTATGAGCATGTACACACACAAAAGTATGATAATTTGCCAGGTGGTGGTGATGCACGCCTTTAATCCTTGCACTTAGGAGGCAGAGGCAGGCAGATCTCTATGAGTTCAAAGCCAGCATAGTCTATAAGAGCTAGTTCCTGGACAACTAGGTCTGTTATACAGAGGAAACACTGTCTCCATAAAACAAAACAAAAAAATTAATTTTCTCAACTTATTGAAGCCTGAAATTTCACCAATTAAGATTTGAAGAGCTGTCGATTGAAGGTGAACAATGAATAAATAAAATTATAGCATTCAAGAAGTGGTTACTAGCTGGGCGGTGGTGGTGCACGCCTTTAATCCCAGCACTCAGGAGGCAGAGGAAGGCGGATCTCTGTGAGTGTGAGGCCAGCCTGGTCTACAAGAGCTAGTTCTAGGACAGGCTCCAAAGCTACGAAGAAAAGAAACCCTGTCTTGAAAAGCCACACACACACACAAAAAAAAGAAGTGTTACTAGGGGTTGGACAGGTGGCTCCGCAGTTAAGAATACTTGTTGCTCTTGCAGAGGACCTGGGTTCGGTTCCCCTCACTATATGGTAGTGTGTGTTCATGTCATGCATGTACCGGTACACATGCACAAGTGTGTGTGTGTGTGTGGACATATGAAGGTCAGAGGTCAATGTCAAGTGACTTCCTTGATCACTTTTCTTTCTTTTTATTTTTTTAAACAAGGTCTCTCTATGTAGCTCTGACTGTCCTGGAACTCTCCATAGACTACACTGACATTAAACTCACAGAGATTCACCTACCTCTAGCTTCCACCTTGATCATTCTCGACTCTTTCTAATGAATTTGTCTT